TTTTACCCAAATTAATAGTTAACTGTGGTTTTACCTCAGCTTACCAATCGGTTTTTCAGTTTTTCATGTCAAGGCTGGTTTCAGTTTATCCTAACCTTTTGTACCACCTGTTTTTATCTGTTTTTAGTGCATTGCTTTTTTGTTTTACGGTCGTAGAATTTCGCCAAGAACTATACAAAAATTTACGTCAATATAGCCGTGAAGAATTCATGCAAGCGACCCGGTTGCCGTCTCGCTGTTACATCTGGAATGCAGTGTGACAAATGCAAAGGTTCGTTACACGAAGCTTGCACAAACCTTACAGTAACTGAATACAACAGACTCAGTAACGCGGATCATATGTGAGTATGTGTCACGAGCAACACGAATGCTGAGGTTTTGCTGAGCGATGCTATCATTCTCTTGACAGGTCTGTGGAACAAGTTGTCAGCAAACCTGAAAATAGGAAGTCCAAAATAAAGTAAACAAACAAAGACGCTCAGTGAAAGCAAGAAGAGGAAAATCGACAACTCTGCTATCGGTGGAGCATTTAAAGACACTAGTAAGGACATGCTGAAGCCCAGCACCATCATAACATCGACGGTACTAGATTCCCTCAACAAGCTTAGGTCCCGAAGCACAGGAATTTTGAATGCAATGGTGGTTCCTAAAAACTCGGTAGGCGATTGGACCCAGTCAACAAAATCAAAAAGAACCGGAATTCACTGCCTAAAAAGCTGAATATCCCAGGTATTGTGGTGAGATCAACTAGTTATTTGGCCGTACAATTTAACCGCAAGAATGTCCAATCGCTCAGCAAAAAGTATAAAAATATGAAACGCGCTTTGACCTCCAAACAACAAGGTCCTCCATCTGAGCGTATCTCAAAACCTGGGAATATAATCTCTGTTCGCGAGGATTCACTCATAATCATGAAACTGAAAGACAGTCCTGAGTTTCCCCTTAGCCTGTAGGCCAAAAACGACAGGATGCTCTGGGGAGAATTGAAGAAGAAGCTTGAACTTCCCAAAATAGAGTCTTTGACGGTCGCACGACTCACTCGGGAAAAGAACTGCAAGCATCAAATACTACTAAGTATAACGCTCACCAACCCTAACGATGTACAGTGTGTCTTACTGTCCAGCAATTTGCTAAATTCAGATCGGACTGTAAGAATACTGCGCGATATACCATACCTTCAGCGCAATCTCACCCGGAACACCCCTCAGGAAGTTCGCTAGGATTCCTTCCGTGGAAGAAATATCATTGTGCAAGATGTGCCAGAGAACACGGACCCTGATCACACAAACTCCGATATTCGGAAGTGAAAATTCATCAAGCAGCTTTTGAATCTCAAAAACAAACTGACTCAACAGGCGGTGAAACTAGACAAGAAAGACGATAATTATGGACCCCGGCTGATGAGGAAAACCTTCCCATCCTGCCATATGGTGGCCGCAACTCTGGAAGCATTTCGTGCCCATAAACGCCGGTTGCCAACTGGAATCCATATGCATCCGGGTAGACTATATGATGACGACATCAAGCAGAAAGGCAAGTTGGAGCTAACCATTCCACTTGTGGAGTGTCTACACGACAAAAAACATGGGAAGGACGGGGGCTAACAGCTCAGAAAACCCTGTGTAGGTAGGTTCCCTGTCCATTGACATAAGGCTCATGAAGACAAACAGGACAGGAGGGTTCATGCGCTTCTAATTCAAAGCATAAATTGCTTATACATGAACGCTGAGAGTCTGCCAAATAAAATGGATGAGCTACGTGAACTTAGCAATGTTAATAAGGCTCATCTGATAGGAATATCTGAAACTTGGATGTCTTCTCAGTTTGCAGACCAAGAGCTAGCAATACTTGGGATGTCTTTGTTTCGCAACGACAGAAAAATAGGAATTGGAGTGGGGTAGCCGTATACATACGATCATGCCTGGAGGTACATCAAGTTCACAACCGTGAGTTTAACAATCTTGATGAATCTGTATGGTGCACAGCAAGATTGTCGGCCACCTCGAGGTGCCTAGTTGGGGTCATCTATAGGAAGCCCACTGCTGACATCGAGTGTGACAGTCGTATGTTGGAAGGACTATCTCGCTCTACGCGTCTTGGATTCACTCATATCCTGATTCTAGGGGACTTCAATCTTCCTAAAGTCAGTTTTGCGGAACATACGTATATTGGGGGTGAAAACTCTAATAAACATCGGTTCTTCAACCTGATTGAGGACCTGGGATTATTCGAAAATGTAAAGTCGACAACTCTTTGGTGAAACAGTCAGACGCCATCGCGCTTAGACTGGGTATTTACAAACGAAGAATTCCTAATTGACAACCTTTCAATTCTGGCTCCCTTGAGGAAGAGCGATCATACCGTCATAGCCTTTAGTTTTATCAGCAAAACTGAGCTAAGATATCCCATCAACAACGGGGGCAGGACAATATACAGAAGGTGGACTGGGAAGTTCACCCTCAACTTTATGCGGATGCCTATTGGGATTTCTTACTGCACACGATTTTTATGCTACAAAGCAGTCTGTTCCGCAAGTGGTCCCTAAAATCTACAAGCAACTTACAGTCATCAAGAACCTCACTCCATTTGGTAAGCCGCAAAAATACTGTTGGGCAGAAGACAAACGAAGTGGTAACAACGGCACATACAGGCTATACAAACATACAAGGAACATATGCACGAAGGCTGTTAGAGTAAACAGGCTTCAGTAACAGATAAAGCTTATGGATAATTTTGTCTCCAAGTCGAAAAGCTTATTCCGTTATGCAGCCTCTCTTCGTCAAGCCAAAACTGAAGTTTCCAAACTGCTAGGTCCTAATGACCCGACCAATAACAGAGGCGACGCCCCTAACCCTTTGGTTGAACAATACTCTCGGACATTTCAACCGACCCACATCAACTATACTGATGACAGCTTCATTTGCAACTGCACATGACTTTCCGAAGTGAACCTGAGCGCTGACTTTGTGTTCCGGAAACTGCAGTACTCAAGAAAAAACACTTCCCGACCCATATATGGTTCATTCTGCTATACTGAGGGAAGCAGCTTCAATCCTGGCAACACCGCTTAGCGTGATGTTCTCACATTCGCTAAGCCGAGGAAAACTACCGGAAAATTGGAAGCTGGCTCACATCACACCACTTTTCGAAGTAAGTCGACGCTGCGAACCTTCAAGTTACCGACCGGTTACTTCTCTCTATACCTTCAAAAATCATGGAATCCCTGATATGCGATGGTATACATGACTATTTACTATCCATAAATTTCATCTCACCCCGACAGCATGGTTTCAGAAAGGGCTGCTCCTGTATAACCAACCTGCTGACTGTAGTGGACAGATGGACGACAATCCTTAACCGCAAGGGGAAGGCTGATGTCATTTACCTTGACTTCTCAAAAGCTTTTCATAGGATCAACCATGTATCTTATCAATAAGCTCAAACGATTAGGTATCAAATAACCTCTAATTGACTGGCCCATTTCATATCTGAAAAATCGACATTTTAAGATCAGGGTTAACTTTATCTTTAACTTTATCTCAGGCTATAGAATGTCCTAGTGGGCTCCCCCAGGGCTCAGTACTGGGACCCCTTCGCTTCTTGATTTATATAAATGATCTCCCACAACAGGTGCCTTCAGACTTACTACATTTTGCTGATGACGTGAAACTTTGGAGAAAGATACACAACCAAGAAAATACACAGGCACTTCAGGAGGATTTTACTCGAATTCAAAGTTGGGCACATGGCAACGGACTTCAACACTTCAAAGTGCAAAGTAGTCCATCTGCGACATGTTGCAAATTACAGTTACAACCTAAGAAACTCCTCTCTATTAGTATCCCGAGTCGAAAAAGATTCAAGAGTGTTGGTACCCTACGATTTGAAGTCCTACGCTAACTGTGACAGAAATGCCTTTCGAACAAACCTTGCACTCGTATCATTGAAGCGCATTTTTGGTCAGTTTGACGGTAGAACTTTCCACATAATCTTCAACAGTTTTATTCGTCCCCATTTAGAGTACGGAAACATTGTATTCCCCCCCCAAAAAAGGATAAGGACACTAGAGCGTATCTAACGGCGAGCCACGAAATCAGTTTGGGGACTCAAATTCAAGCCTTATGGAGAGCGCCTCCAGTCACTTAACATTTACCCACTAGAGTATAGGCGTCTTAGAGATGACCCTCTGATGGCTTACAGTATCCTTAACACTTCTGGACATCCCCTTGTAGCGTGGCGTCGAGTTGAAATTAACTATGAACACCGCTACCAAAAAAACACGTGCCAAATAAATCAGAAGGCGAGGGGTGAACGTAACCAAATAAATCCATAAAATCCCCGAGAAACCAAATATCAGAAGGCAGTTAATGGACCAAGTCGAGATATATTTGCTGGCGATCTCGTGGTATCGAAAGGATACCGAGATCGTGCCAGGATACAAGCTTGGTTACAGAATGTAACCAAATTCGCGCGAAGTCACAATCAAAGTGTAAGAATAGGAATGGAAGCACAATATAGCTGTCATTAGCACAGTCAAACAAAAGCACATTAAAACAAACTCTGGTACAGTTGGTTATAATAATAATTGTTTTCATTAAACCAGTCGTGTTCTTGTGATAAATGTGAGTCACTACACCCTTGAACACATATTTAAGCTTAGTCCCAATACAAACCTAAGAAGTAACACTCAGAAATTGGAGATACAACATAGCAGAACGTACTGTAGACACAACTTCTACTCCTTAAGAGTTGTCAAATGCTGGAATTCACTGACTACTAGACTTGTCCAAGAGACTTCCCAGGAGTCCATTAAGAGGAAACTTGACCTATTCTTAAGGACTAAAGATAACATCTTATTATGATTTACCAATTTTTTCCCTCCATTGTCGCTGATATACCTAGGTTTCTGCCTGGAGGTATTAGTGATCCACTGCTATTAGACACGGAAGCCCGTTAAGCGAAAGCTTCTTCTATTCCTTCCACAAACATTTGAACCATTTGAATGTGAGTGCGGTACATTTTCCGTTGACGCTACTGTCCCCCCAGGTCATTGCTCGATATTGTTTGGTGTAAGCCTTCATGTAGAAGCATCAAGTTTTCTTTCTTTCTCTCGCTTCTCAACTTACATGAAATCCCTTCAAACTTTTAGACACCCATCAAAACATATTTCTTGAGAGTTTTTATAATCTAAATACTTTAAAAGTCACAAGGAGTCAAGTAAGCAAACACTAAGCTCAAGTGTATTTCACTTGATCTCTCGCTTAGCGTAGTTGTGTGGAATACTTCTCATATTTTCCACTTATTTTTTCTAAAAAAAGCATAGTTTACCAATCACATTCCTTATGTTTCGAAACAAAATAGACCAATCTGACACAACTAAATTTATTGTTACCAGCTAGTTTTGATGAATGTCACATTTCTTCAAGTCACTGTAACAGGAGCTATGAATTAAGAAGAGGAAATATGGTAGTTGTATATCTTTTAAAACTGTACATCCACTTAATAAAGTGACGTGACTTAGCCTGATGCTTTTGTCTTTCATGTTTGTAAATAACTTTAACTGTTTTGACCTTCATTTGCATAACTTTATTTTACTGACACTTTGTCAGTCTGTTTTGTAATAAATTGAAAGTTCAGCAAATTTTGAGATATTAACTTGTTGAATTACTTAAGATGATATATCAGTTTCCTTTCCAATTTAAAGCCGGTTGGAGTTTACTAGTTTAAGTTAAATTTATGAAACATGATCCAACAAAGCGTTAGTAATACTGCTCAATACTCTAAGTGTTTTTATTTCCTTAGTCATAAATATATACTTAACGTCTCTTAGCATTGTATTTACTCTCCCTTTCATCCAAAACGTTATTTTCCGCTGCAATTTGTCTCCTTATTGGTATTTCTGTCACTAGCTCCTTGATTGTTTAACGTTTTCTTAGAACTTAACAACAATTTGTGATCCCAACAGTCTGTTCACAAATATCAATAACTGTCTAAGAGCAGTTTTAACCAAATGTTTTATTTCCAGATTGTCCATCGACTAAAAAATGACCACAGCCGGGAGACCAACATGGGATACTGCTAAAGGTAGTAGAGGAAAGTGGGAAGGTGATTTAAGTGCTTTGTCTAAGCAGTACTCTGTTCGTGACTTACCGGCACATACGAAATTGAAATTGCGTCAAGAAGGACAAGGAAGACCTGAAGATATTCAAGGAAAAGATTTTAAACGTGCTTTGGAAGAAAAAGAGAAACGATTAGCTCAAGAAAAGTCGGGGAGGCGTAAGTATAGTTAATTCACTTATTCTTAATACAAGTTAGTCATGAGCACCTTTAAAATCTCAACCTATAAAGAGATAAAAATGCATAGGCTTTAGAAATTTCGTCACACTTCCATCTTTAAATGACAGTTAACTTATAGTATAGATACAATTAGTTTGATTAACATAGTCTCAAATAATTCCTCTTATTCTATAGACCCTATTGTCTGGTAAAAACTGTCTCCTAGAATAATTCTCCAACTTAAATTTTCGACTCAACAAATTTTTTAGGGGACTCATACAGCATATACAGTCCTTACACCTGTGATTTAAAGGTATATTTCAAGATATTCTACATTTTCATGTTTCGGGTTTTTGTGACAAAAAGTATTCATTGTCACCCAGAGTCTCCAACGATTGATCACGATAGTCGCGCAGACCCCAATCAAGTATTTTGGATCTACCAACATAGCTCAGACCAGAAGTTAGTGACTTCAAGGACTGATGCCACGTTTTGCTTTGGCCGCTCCTAACTTTCTTCCAACCGTCTCCACCACTAGTCAGCATTGTGCATCGTGGTAATCAGTCGATGAAGCTTCACAACTTCAACTGGTTTACCACCACTCTCTAATACCTTGTATCTGACCTCTTTATTACCTACCCGATTATCCCAGTAGATGCAAGCAATATTTCTAGGACATCTGTGATCAAATACTAGTAGTTGTCACGTCTAACAGTCGTAAAATAAAACAGAATGAACTGGTGCACAGTATACTCGTCCTTTAATTGATAGACGTAAATCTCGCCTTCGTCTTACGTGACGCAATTTGACAAAATCTAGGCCTCATGGTAGCCAATGATCAACAATAGGTTCATACGCGATTCGTTCCCTCAGGATCCTGAAGCCCATGTGTACCACTGGTTTAAAATCAGGGTTTTCAATCCCCCTAGGTGGATCCTCCGTACCCACCAATCCTGTTAAAATGCCGGACATTCGCTTTTCGTCCTTTCAATTTCGCAACCAACACGCCTGCCGCTAGAAGTCAATGAGTAGAACTTCCTTGGTTGTTGTCGTATACGCGTGGCCATATGAGAGCATTTCGAGAGAGAGAAAGCAGACTCTCTCAACCCTCCCCCGTACCAGTGCATTCGAGAGTGGCTATGTTTGAGATCAAGTGTATTGTCTGATCATTGTCGTCTTGTTTATTATTTGTGGGGTTAGCGAAATACTTTATTTAAATGTTATCCTCCAGTTTTCTCATATCGACTCGTCCTTGTCATATTTATTGCGATGCTGACGAAAGAAGAATAGGGTTGAAAAAAGCTAAAGGAGACAGGTCACTCATTGTTTGAGGGTATTATAAATGAGTCCACGAACGATCAACCAGTAACAAGATTACTAGCCAGATAGTAAGGTCTTTTATATAATAAAATAACGCGTTTTTGTACAAAATAAACATTATAAAACATATTAGGTATTTCCAAGAAATTAGATCGTATTTCACTTATTCTCTAATCAACTAAAACCTGACTGTTGCGCCTTATTTTTCTTGGAGATTGTTTCAGAATGGTTCACTTAATGTCAATCAGAATCATATACACCTTGCTCAGTGAGTTAGCAAAATTACGTAGATCAGAAGTTGGAAACCTTAAGTAACAGCTCAAAGTTAGTCGCAATATCTCGGATCTATCCACTTTTCCTTGATTGTTAACGTACTACCTTTTGTTTCCGTTTAACTCATCCCTGCTGTCTACTGGAAAACTTTCAATGTTCCTTGTTTTTATTCCTCTGTGCTAATGTGAAAACGGCACATTGTGTTGATTCATTTTTGTAAGGTATTGGGTAATTTTGTGATTATAACATTGGTTCTTAACTCTGATTCAATTCTCCACAGTACCAGTTCCAGCCTAAATACCTTTAAGTAACACTAAACAATGCTGTTTCTTAGCTTGTAAACATGAATTTTGTGGGCGTTGTAGATATACCTTACTATTATGTGTTAGAATGCTTAAGATGAAGGTTGTCAACAGCCACCAAATACTTCTAAACTACTCTGTTTTTTAATACACTTCATTAATAAATTCACAGAATTACTCCTTCGTGAAGACGACGACTTTGAGGAACTTCGTGAAATTCATATTATATTTTAGATCAGAATTTTGTATCTTTTACCTTTTGATATTCTTCCTCTTTCAAAAGTCAAGATATTACGAGTGTAGGAGTTTTACATTTGTATTACTTTTTCCCACCGCCCTCATTCAGCCTCAATAAATTCCACTAGTCAACAACCAGCAATTACCAGTGCCAAACGACCAAGTTCTGCTGCTGTCGCGCCAACTATTGATAGTAGTACTATAGGTAGTATAAAACGTACACGACCTGAAACAACCACTGCTGTGTCAACAACTAATTTAGACGCTGATGATCCGTGGGATGAGGATTATGATGAAGATCAAGAAGATGTAATTATCCCTAAAAAGTCGAATCATAATAAAAGTAAGAATTCAACTGGAGATAAATTTGATGATGATAATCAAAACGATGATGATGACGATGAAGATGCTGACAATGATGATGTCGACGACGATGATGAAGAAGATGAAGAAATGCTCCTAGCCGAATTGGCTAAAATTAAACGTGAACGAGCTGAAGAAGCAGCCCGTTTGGCTGCTGAAAGGAAAGCAGCTGAAGAAACTATTCGTATGGAAAATATCTTGAAAGGAAATCCTCTTTTAAATTCATCTAATTCTTCAGGTTTGTTTTATAGTGTGTTTACAGTGAATCTATACTTATGAAATTATATATATATATATATATATATATATATATATATATATATATATATATATATATATATATATATATATGATATCCCAGTGAGTAGGAAATTTCTGGCATATCGCGACTTAATAATGGCTTAATGATTTTTACATATAGTGAACTATTTAACTTTTATACAACCATCCATGCAAATTGTATGAAATGATTTATTAATTTAATTCAATACGACTGTGTCGATCATCTGTCTTCAAACCAATTCACGTTCATTCTAGTAAGTTATAAATTCCAGGATTGAAATGTTCACACAAGGATTCATTCACCACTGATTGGACTTAAATCATCGTACTTACCGGGCAAATTGATGTGGTTTATACCAGGTGGGGATAATGAAGTAATAATACTGGGATATATCTAGTGCCTTTATAAGGGAAATTTCCTGCTTCTCAAGTTTCATTAACTCTTCAAATAGTTTATTAAATAACCAACTCTTCGAAAAGCTTTAAAACCATAGATTCGTTCCGAAGAGGGTGATCATACGTATGTATACAGATCGTAGGTCTTTGAGTAGGTCAGATATCTAGTACTGTCATATTCTTACTAGTTGGTCAAACAAATCCTGATTGATAAGAACTTTCGTCTAAATTTGAACGAATAGTTTCACAATATTTGGGCGCCGAGTTAATTTGAGACATTAAAAAGAAGAATATATTTGTAAAATCTCAGCGAATGAATTTTAAGTAAATCCAACGTTTCGCCTGGCAATCTGATTGTAGTTTGAAGAAGATTCTCGATATTTTATTAAATAAAATTAGTCTTACTAATCGATGAATGTTATTATTTACTGTGTTCATAAACGGTATAGTGCACGAAATACTAGTTAATACAAACTAACAGAAAAATTTAAAAGATTGGCATGCAATAATAAAAATCAGTGGCATTAGAGTACACTAATTTTTGGAATGATTTGTAACTCAATCGGATGATTTCAATGGTGTTGTATTCTGTAATCTAGAGGTTTCTACTTGTATTAGACGCTGGTGATTCTATTAAGAACAACAATCAAAGCTTCACAATTAAATCATCCAGCTCGGAGGACTCAGTGTCACCCAAAATAGCACTTTCCTGTTGGTTTATATTATATGTTGAAGTTACTTACGCCTGTTACCCCTTGTGGAGGAGCATAGGTCGCCCACCAACATCCTCCATCCAACTTTGTCCTGGGAAATCGTCTCCAGTGCCTATTCATTGTTTTGATATCTGCTTCCGACGCAATGTAGTCCTCGGTTTTCCTCTTTTCCGCTTCCCTTCAGAATTCAAAGTCAACACTTGCCTCGTGATGCAGTTTGATGGTTTACGTAACGTATGTCCTATCCACCTCCATCGTCCCTTCCTAATTTCCTCTTCAACTGGAAGCTGGTTTGTTCTCTTCCACAGTAGGCTGCTGCTGATGGTATCCGGTCAACGGACATTGAGTATCTTGTGTAGACAACTGTTTATAAATACCTGTACTATTTTGATGATAGTTGTAGTACTTCAAGTTTCAGCTTTGTACACTAGAACAGTCTTGACGTTTGTATTGAAGATTTTCACTTTGATATTGGTTGACAGTTGTTTTAAGTTCCATATGTTCTTCAACTGTAGGGGTGTGGCCCTTACATTGCCAATCCTCGTCTTTACGTCTGGATCGAATCCTCCTTGTTCATCGGTGATGCTGCCCTATTGAAGTTAGATATACCAATATTACTTGAGTTGCTTAAGTAATTTCAAATCTATGGGAGATAAATTGTCACTGTTTGGGCATCAATTATTCCTAACATCACATGAAAATAATTATTGCCGTTAACTAGCAGCTCACTGTCTCAACAATAGTTATTCGTAAATAAATTTTTAAACTTGATTTATTTTAGTTGTGTCAAGAGTAGTTTTTACCATTCATAGAGAACATTGTTTGTAACCTAATAACAGAGATATATATATATATATATATATATATATATATATATATATATATATATATATATATATATATGACGTTAAAAATCTACATTTTTGTAAATACTCAAAAATCCTACGTACAGTCATTTCTGACACAAAATTTATTGCTACGCACACGATATAAGATACAGTAAATAAATATCTGGTTCATACATCCATATTCGATACCTTACATTTTCATATTGGTTATTACGATGAAATCGTTTGTAATTATCATTATAAAGAAATCAAGGTTTCCTTTAAGACTAGTCACTCAAAACTTTAAATTCGATTTGTGTTGTTTTTTAATGTCAGCTGGTAAAAAATCAAAATTTTAAAAATTGTCGTTTATATTTTACCGCTTAGTTTTATATTCATTATACTTCTATTATTACATTGTTTCATTGTGTGTAAAATATGTTCCTTTTTTGTACTGAAGAATTTAAAGTCAAAAGAAGATGGGATGATGATGTTGTATTTAAAAATTGTGCTCGAGGTGAAGTCGATCATGTAAAACGTGGATTCGTAAATGATACACTACGATCTGAATTTCATAAAAAATTTATGAAAAAATATATCCAATAATGCACATGTACATTGTCTTCCCTCAATAATACTTTATTTCCTGTAAATAAATAATTACTTTAAACAATCCTATGTTAACTTATTTGTATCCAAAAGTGTCTCGATATGTAGTGTATTAAAACTTTATAATAAAAATTGCTTCCAAAAACATGAATAAATTTCAATCTAGAAACATCACATTAATATACTTTATACTTACTAGTCGTAAATAGTTCAGTTTATTAGATTTTTTGGGTCGGAATTTATCACGAAGCAAACAAAATCAAGCAGCAGAACAGCGTCATCTGGTGTAATTTATAAATTTAAAACATCAAACTTAACGAATTTTATGCTTGAATCTCCAGGTCTCATAATAAACAAAAGCTCCGTTTATATGCTATGATTAAATGTTGATTCCTGTGGTAACTTTAGGAACAGCTCGTGTTAGGTTACCAAAAGCTTTATATGGAAGCAGTTAGGTTTACAAACACATTATAGTATTCCTCACGCTACCGTTAGCCAGTTGATAAAAGAATAAAATGGGAGGAGTTCCATTCAATGGAAAAACCAAGTGATGCTATGTTTCTAACCAAAGCGTTAAAAATAAAGACAATTCATTTCCAGGATCCAAGTATCTATTCACTGCGCTACCGATGTAATATGTTTTACATTCCTAACCATCAGGATAAACACTATTTCTAATATCAGTATGAGGTTGTAGATATTGTTAGGTTTTTGACTGAGATCATGAGTTGATTGATGTTAGGCCATCATTGAAAACCTGGAAGCACCGGATGGTCGTTTCGTCTCATTGTGGCACTCCTCAGCAGTGCACACCCACGGTATTCGAACCCAGGATCTTCGGTTCCACGCGCGAACGCTTAACCTCTAAACATTAACATCACCTGACGCCGGCTCAGTGGTCTAGATGTTAGGCGTTCACGTGTGAAACCAAAGATCCTGAGTTTGAATACCGTGGGTGTGCACTGCTGAGGAGTGCCACAATGAGACGAAACGGCCGTCTGATGCTTCCAGGTTTTCAATGATGGCCTAACATTAATTGATTCATGATCTCAATCAAAAACTTTTTAATAGTCGGTATAAGAAGCAGTCCCGTTTTCTGAAGTTTGGGTATTTTGATAACTAATGGTTACGAACCGCAAGTAACTTAATTCAGTAACAATTATAGTGGATCCAAGTCAATCACTGTAAAAGCAAATAAGTCGGAAATCTTAAGGATTTGTAATCATCTTACCATCGATCTAAATAATTAGTTGTTCCCAATGTTTTGTCACTTAATGAGGTGAATATTAGTGTCTTGAGGAAGTTTTCTAAAAAAGTTTGTTTGAACGGGATCAGAGTAGCATTCAGTTAGTTGCGAAAATAAGACACGGTTCGGTACTTTTCCGCTGAGCATACTGAAGATAATTAGTTGTATAGCCTATGCAATTTAAAGTCACTCAAATTTTGTCATTGGTAGCTTTATTTTTCTCATAATGAACGCTATCTTTTGGTCAGTGTAACTTGCACGTTTATTGTTTGTATGTCAGTTAACACTTCCTTGTTTAAAATAAGTATGCTAACGATTTAGTAGGATACATCAATTATATTCTTCATTGAACAACAGGTACATTAAAAGACTTATCAGGTTATCCACACATTGACTACTTACATCAGTGAGTATAGTTAGTTAAAAAAGTGAGGCTAAGAATTTGAACAGTAATGAGAAATCCAACAGGCACTACTGTACTAAACCTCCACGAGTTTCACCGTAAATAATTCAAAAGTTACTAGCTGGATACAAAATCATAATTTATCTTAGACAAACGTGCTCCTACGAACCTTTAGTTACTTGAACTTAATGATTTATAACTATAACAGGATGCGACTTCATACAGCATAAACCACTATTTCTAATCTATCATGAGTCAACAGAAGTAAGAATTTACGTTTTTCCAGTGTAGGCCGTAACGGTTTTTTGTCTCGGTATACTACTTATTAGTGTTCAGTAATCTAAATTATATTCTATTGCTTCCACACCTGTACAACAAGACAAATATCCTAACCATTTGTATTTTTCTTCGTTCTACTAGTAGTATAAGTGATTAGTCCTCGTTTGCTCCTGTTCCTATGTATTACCCTTTGGGACTCGTCTTCATTTTGAGTGATTGGCATTTTAGCTTATGTCAGTTCGTGATGAAAACCTTAAATCTAATTCCTAACTATTATATCCTAGTGAAGATTAAAGTACGAGTAACGTCTGAGACCTATCATAGACTAATATTATCTATATGTTCTTATTGTATAGCAATTCAGTAACTAGATTATGTATATTAATATTCCTCTTATTCTAAGTTTCATTTTGACCGATAATTTATTATTATACTATGTACTGTCCCTAAATTATGCTCAATTTATTAACTACTGTCTCCCACGTTCACAGCCACTTTTTGGCTTTATTGTGTACAGATGTTATTTCCTATTTTATGGTGCGTTGCGGTCTGTTTGGTTGATATATAGATTCAGTATGTCTGGAATAAATGATTCGATTCGCATAGTGGAAACTGGTATTAGTGTTCTGGACTCAACTGGACGGGCTAGGCAGACATAGGACCAATAAGGATGCTAAGCTGCTCATACCGGTTGAACGTCATTGGTTTGGCACAGTGCTATGATTGTATAAGTCGCATTTTTATTGGTGGATAAATCATGTGATAAAAAGCCGGACATCATGACATAACACTAACCTTAACCGTCAACTGTAAATTATAATTCTAATTCCTCACATTGCTTTACAACCATCATTTAGTCCTAGATATTAGGTGGACATTCTCAGGGTCATTTTAGCGTCGCTTAAAGGTCTTCCATAAATGAGAGTCTCACCATTAATCTCTTATCATTAAGAGTGAAACATTCATAAACTAATATTATCATTTGAAAATGACATTTAGTTTAAGTAACAGATATTTTTTATTATAATAATGATTTAAAACAAATTATTATTTCAATATACAATGTTTATTTATATTTCAGTATATTTAATATTTACACAAATATGTAACTATTTTCATTGATACAACGCACTAATTTTAAACTGAAATTAATGAATAAAAGAGTTGAAGAAATATTACCCATTTCAATCGACTACTTACATTATATGGATAATTAAAGATTATTGTTAATTCGACACATTCAGTTTAATCATCTTGTTTGTTTTTTAGACAAAAAAAGTTTTATTGAATGTAAATTAATGAAAATTTATTCACAATGGCGCAATTTTTAAATTAATAACAAGATATCAAAGTAACATTTCTATATTAAAATTAAGACCATTTAAAATTAGACTATTTCATTTGAAATGGTATTTGATTTCCATTGAATCCAATTAGAATTGCAGCTAAGTCTTTAGAACTTAATAATGTAGAATAATCAATTCTAGAATTTAATTTTATAGTTGTATCTGTAGTGGACAATGTATTTGTGAATGTTTCCTTTGTATCTATTCCAGTGGTCAAATTTAACAATGATTTGGTTTTCAGGTGAATTTCTTGAGAAACATTTGAAGTAGTATCTGTTGTCAGTGCAACAGGAGATAAGTTGTTAGCTGAAAATAATACAGTCGTATTGTTATCTGTATTGTTGTTAGGGATTAAATGTTGCAAAGCTGATGTATAAGCATTGAATGTGTTCAATATTTTTTGTGTATCAGGCAATAGACTAAGCTGCTGTTGATTTATTTCCATACTACTATGACTGTTATTATCATTATTATTGTCGATATTCATATTATTACGGCTATGTGATCGTTCGTATTTACGATATTTAGCTCGACGATTTTGAAACCAAACCTAAGAGAATTAGCAAAAAGAAATCATTGAATTATGCTCACTGGAAATTGTATAGAGCATTTTACAATATTGTTCATCTCTTAATACAGAGATTATTAATGAAACAACCATTTTAAAAAACCGTTAAAACATGACATCATCCCACCATAATACTAATCATTAGTCATGAACGGTGTAATAGTTCCACAGAAATCCTTTACGCACTACATCACGGTTGAATTAATAAAATTCCCTTGATCTTTTGAAAGCATTCGATTAGAGGGTCACTAGAAAGCACAATGAACTATTTCCATAGGTAATTACAGAACCATATCGTTAACTTATTGATATTGGAATAAATCATTCATTAAATGTTGATCTAATAATTCAAGTGTAACTATAATCAGCACCTAAATGTGACAATTTCAGTCCTATAAGTGAAATTTAAGTCAATTAGTTTCTTCTCAAACTATTTACTGTCAATAAATGTAGTCCAATCTAATATTTTCAAATACATGTCTTTACAATAGAATACGTTATGGCAATTCTTTCTTATAATTAAAATACAACTCGCAAATTAGTCTGTAGTGGATACAAATGATGATTTGTTTATCTCATTCCAGACAGCTAACTGGTGTATCACTACCTCCTCACTTGGTTAAAATCAAGTGCACAAACCCTTTGTTTAATTAAACACTGAGTTCTACAAGATTTCATTTAGATTTAATAGCAAGACTATTAGAATAATCTGAAAACTCTAGTTTCCACAGCTAACTTATACACATATATATTTACTATAAAACTTTGTCCACTTCAAAATATAAAATTCGTCTTAAATAACTTCAGATATAGTTCAATACAGTTTATCGGTCAATACTTTCATAATAATTAATTAAGTGGTATCAGGATCGAACTTATTAATTGGAAATGACTGCATTGAAGTTTGTAATTTTTCAGTGATGAGTAAGTAAGCTTGTTTAAATATAGAAATACAAAATATTCCTATAATTTACGTATTTTTCTCGGAAAAGTATGGGTACTTAATGAAATTTTCAATGAGTTTCCGATGTTAATGAAGTGTTTGAAACGAAGGATATCTGGCTTGAATCCCGGTATGAACATTAACACTGGATGCAGGCATATGCAGTTAGTGAGTCTCCAACAAAAAGTAACCCATATCTTGTATTCCACTCCTAACTACTATTCTGTTTTACTCACATACGGTCTGATGTTCGTTCTAACTGAAACGATTATTTCAGTAGTATGATAGTCGTCATAAAATAATTTGAAAATAAACCTCATGTGTTAAATCCTAAATTAAACTAAACTAAACTATTTTAACACTAATATTAATCCATGTTTTTTTATAAT